TAGAGGGGAGGGGGGTGGGAGGATGGGTTAGCCTGGTGATGGGTATTGAGGAGGGCACATTCTGCATGGAGCACTGGGTGTTATGCACAAACAATGAGTCATGGAACACTACATCTAAAACTAATGATGTAATGTATGGGGATTAACATAAGAATAAAAAAATTAAAAAAATAATAAATGCTCAATATGAAAAAAAAAAAAGAATTGGGGAGTTTTCTGGATAGGTCTAGGCTAGTTACAAATTTGGGTATCAAGAGCATACAGCTGGAAATAAACAATGGTCCCAGAGATTACCTGGGTCAGGTAGGAAAGAATGCAGAGATTGAGTCCTGGCTCACTGCAACACTCAGAGGTCTGCCAGACAGAGAAGGAAAAGCACGTGACCACAAGAAGGTGTCTGTGAGGTTACAGAAAACACAAGTCCCAGAAGCACTTTGTTCTTGAATGTCACCAACACACCCCAGTCAATAAAGAGGCTCACAACACTACTCAGCCTCTCTGTTTGCCCAAGGTAAGAGGTGGGATACAGTTCCCTATGTTCCCTTTACGCAGCTCCCCAACCGATCCTATTAAACTAGGGTGACCACATAGTTTATTTTATATTCATTAATATATTTTATTTACGAGCTTGACCCTTGAGAGCATCAGAGCAACCAGACATCAGAGGAACAGCATAAACCGGTATTGTACCTGATACACTCCGAGATATGCTCTCACCCTTTCTAAAAACCCAAACGCTCAAACCGGAGTCATAAACGTCCAATGCTTTGGTCGCATTTCCCACCAAACCACCCTGCCATTTTCTCCCAGAAATTATCACACAGAAGAAAAACGAAGGGGATGGGGATGTGAGAAGGAAATTCCATCCAAACAAGTTATGCACAGAAAGGGTACCTCATGGGTCCTGCTGAGTCTCCCAGGTGGACCACTGAGCCCCCAAAGGAAACGCAGGCCAGTTACGCCAGCGCTGGACTTGCAGCTTGGCTACTTACCACCTCCGCCTCTCTGAGTTTCAGTTTCCCCCGCTGCAATCTGGGGACACCCATCCCCCAGGACCGCCGGGAGGAAGAAGCAAGAAACGCACGCCCCCTCTAAGCCCTGGACCCGGCAGGTAGAAGGCACACAGACAGCAGTAAGGGTAATAATCACAGTCAGGGGCCCACAGACCTGGGTTCGAGTTTCACCTGTGCCCCTGGCCTAGCAGCGCCTTTTCGCCCTGGCACCAACGAAATGAGCAGGTCCCTTCGCCCGTCCTCGGTCCCGGCGCACCGGACCCTCGGACACACTGGCAGCGCGGCTCCACGGGTGGCTCCCCCTACCCCAGGGGGAAGCCAGGCGGCCGGGAGAGCAAAGGCGGGAGGGCGGCGGGCAGCCACTGACCTGCTTGAAGGTGCTGCTGAGGAAGTAGACGAGCGAGAGCCCGAAGACCAGGGCGAGCACCCACCTCTTCCGGAGGAGCCGGCGCCACACCATGGCCGCTAGGTTCACCATGCCGGGGCGGACGCGGGGCGCGGCGGCCAGGGCGCGGAGTGGGGAAAGCCCGGGGCCCGGGCGGC